GCAAAATGAGCCAGACACAACTTTGAGTTACATTTAGACTCACACAATATAAGATACAAAACTACTATTGTCATTAAAATATTATACTTGGTCTTAGCCAAAAGGCCGAGATGCAGTGTCACTAAAACATTATAACTGAACAAATCTGTCTGAGTTACTTTCATGCCACTGAGACATAATACCCAAAACCCACAATTTCAAGTCGAAAAGGTCTGTTTTTATTCAGTTTGTAGAGGTTTCACCCCATAGTTTGCTGGCTCCAAGGGAGGCTGGCTTGGCGGAGGGGCCTGACACGTAGGAAGGTTGTCCATGGCAGGGCACTGGGAAGCAGTAGAGCCATCAAGGGAGGAGAAGGGAACTATGTAGACCATTCTAGGCCACGCCACAGTGATCTACCTCTTCCTGCCTAGCTTTACCTCCCAACATCACACCTTGCTATAAACCTATCAGTGGACTAATCTGTACCACATCTGCGACTCAGTCACCTTCCAAAAGCCCCACCTATGAGCGTATGATGCTTTGGAAGAACACCTAGATTTAAACCATAACCTCCAATTAAGTGCAAAGAAAAGAAAGTGGGGAGGGGGCTATATTACAGAAAACAGTATATAAAATACATACTCACCCCTGCATATGCACATATATATGCATATATTCATATGTACTTCATTATTCTCTCACCATGTTTATGCAGTAAAATGTACATATATCCCTTTACTAATTGCTAGCTCAGCCTTGTATATAAGGCTTAACTATAAATTTCAGAGATAATACCTTGACAGAACAAAGAAGGCTAGAAGGAGCTTGCCCAAGAATTTGCATGTAGGCAATAGAGAGGGTTAGTGGCCAAATCAGGGGTCTCAGAGCCCAAAAGAGTCAATCAAGTTACAACGAGTCTCAAGGGACAGAGTCCCTTCCTGTTATATAATAAAAGGGTTCAAAAGGAAGAACAAATGCCAGCTCCAGGCTCTATACCTTACTCCAACAAGGTAGCTATCTATCTCCTCATACTTCTCTCCTTCTAATACAGTGATTTTCCACCTGCCTCACAAGTGTAAGGTCCCAAGTTAGATCCCCGGTACCAAAAAAAAAAAAAAAGTTAATACAGTGATTTTATTTCTCCTTCTTAACTTACAACCTTAATTCTTTTTTTTATATACGTTTATGCAACAATAAGACAGGAAGCACTTGTGAATATGCTATGGTACAAGACTAACTGAAACAACAGGAAATTTCAAAGTGGGTTTAGATTAGTTGTAAACAGATATGGTTAACATTAGAAAATTAGAAAATACTGGGATACACACCTATGGAATTTCTTAAGCAATGACAAAAAATAGAAACATATAAAATGCCCAATTGAAACAAAGAGGAAAAAACAGATGATACAGTATTAGAAACAGAACAAATAAAGCAACAGAAAAAAGCTTTCTTGTACAATATTAGAATAAAATAGAAGACAAGAAAAAGCTCTACAAAAGTTCTAATATACTTACAAATATTATAGCATTGTGAACCTGCTCAGCTTCACCATCTAAAATGTATAAATGTCTAAAAGCATCGGGCTTTAAATTATAAATGTATTAAATTTCCATTTGAAAATGAAAACATGAAATATTTTTAAAATGCAACATTTTTAACATGCAATCTGTACATTCAGCATTCAATCCATTCTCATTGAATGAAAAAAGAAGGGAAACAGGAACGATACACTTGCAAACTCAGCTTCTTGGAAGACTAAAGCAAGGGCACCATAATTTAAAGGTCAGAATGGGCCATTTAGCAGAAGATTGTACTGGTATAAAACTAGCATAGAATTGCAAGTATCTTGTAAAATTTTTCTGAAATTCAGGTAGTAAACAGCACATCTTCATTCAGATATAGACCTATCTCAATATACATATGTAGATGATTCTGGTGGCAAACTTACTATCTATCTAACATTTTTGGGAAGAAACTACATTGTCTAAAATACATTTAAGGAGACTACTGAACTTGTTTAAAATATTTCCAAATACTTCTGAAATCTGCCTTGAAAGAAATCAACTAGATGTCCCTATCTGCTTCCTCACTCAGTCTCTCTCTGTCAAACAGTCTCTCTGTTTTGTTCATGAAAACGCCTCCTCACTTATCACTGTAAAGCAAGGGCATTACTGACACCTAGAAATGACCTCACACTCCACCAAGTTTAAAAATTATTTAAAAATTATTGTATACTGTCTCAACAAATTCCTTAAGTCTACATCTCCAAAGAGAAAAATTATTCATACAAATAAAATTGGAGAAGATGATCTCAGTGTCAGGAGAATATCGTACAGACTCAGATTTGAGGGTCATCACTAAGGTGATGGTGCAATACGCTAGGAATTCTTTACGTTATATATTCAATTCAACTATATTTATAATACCAATAAAACAACTCTAATTTTGAAAAACACTAGAATACTTTATGAAAAACAAAGGACAGTGTTAATTTGTCAAATCTCCAATAAAAAAGTAAAGGGGAGAGAGAGAGAGATGATATACTTTCCCACTATGTGCCTCACAACCACAAGGTCCCAAGTTCAATCCCCGGTATCCCCCCCCAAAAATACAGAATATACTTTCCCACTATTTGGAACATGCTGTACAATTACAGTCACTTAAACCTGAAACTCAGCCAACCTACAGGCATACTAAATTTATAAATTTATACCAAGAAATACATTTGTTTTAAACTGAGATTTCATAAGGCTGACAGTACAAATCAAGTGTAAAATGTGATTCATCACTCCCTTATGGTGCTAAATTGCTCATTTTATAAGCAAAATAAATTTTATTTTTTCATCACTAACATTCAAATGTACATTCTAGGTAGATTCAAAAAATATATAAAATATGAAAGTAAAATATGGAAAAAAGCACTGTATAAGAAAATCTATGCCAGGTGTGGTGGTACACACCTATAATCCCAACACTGAAGAAGTTGAGGCAGAAGGATTGCCACGAATGTGAGGCCAGACTGAACTACATAGTGAGATCCTGTCTCAAAAAGAAAAGAAAAGAAAATCTAGGAGTGAGGAAATCTTCAGGAATAAAATTGTAAAGCCACAAATGTTAAAGTGACTTTGAAGATACAAAAAGTAACTCAGGATTCCTGTTTAGGAAAGAAAATACTTTATAAAATTAACATCCAGATGGAAAAATTATGAGAAGGCATGTTGATTCTCTACAAGTGACAAAGAAATGCCTAGATGAAAAGATTTTATCAAAAATGATTCCTCATTACAAATATGAGAATATAAGCAGATATTTTATACAAGGGCTTATATGGGAAATGAAAACAAGGAGGCATAAAATGGATGTATAAAAGAAAGAAAAGTGTGAGAAAACATAATTAAATTTCGCTATAAATCCTTAAAAGTCATCAAATTAGAAAAAGCCTAATGTTGGTTGGCTAAGGGAAATAGAAACTGTTGCCCCCTGGTGGTGACAGTGCAGATGGTAAACGTTAAGATTTAAATGTGTACATACTCCGCACTGGAGCTAAAAGGCTCCTGGGCCCTGAGCATCTATGGCATTTTTTCAAATCTGCTTCTAGGGCAGCAAACGAATGTGCTTGTGGTATTTGCACCAGTGACAGAACTAGATAGGCCTGCTTTCCCAAACTGTGGAAAGCCAATTAAGATATTCTAGAGACAAACAATGGAGACCCTGTCAGGAGTTACATACACAGCTACGCAAATAAATCTGGAAAATGATAGTAAGTGAATCAAGTAAAATACAGGATGAACTCTCTAATATACTTGCATTTGGGCACGCTAAACATATACATACGTGAGAGTGATGTGCAGGTCAGTGATAGAACACATACACAGTACAAAAAACGTTGAGACCCATTCACATGCATTAAGACATGCACAATCACCAGTGCCTGAAGACCACCAACTTAGCAGGAGCAGCATGGACATAGAAGCACCCGAATGACAAGGTACCCAGAGTGGGCAAACCAGACCACAAGAGCTGCCAAAATTCTCCACACCCCAAACCCAAGCAGAATGAATGACACCACCCCAAGTACTCTGTCCTTGCCCACTCCTCTTGTCCCCACCACCCGCACTACTTTCCAGATGTCACTAGTGTGAAGAGACAGGACAGGCCCCGCTGCTTAATGATCTATGATGACACCCACTGGGAGACAGAAGGACAGACTAAGGGGTGCCTCGAACTGAAGCTCTGTGCTTTATCTCAACTGTGCCTTTCTCCATAAACCGTTTCCATGGTCTTCTCCAGGATGCCAACATGGAAGTCTTGTCCTCAGAGTTTGGGGAAGTCAGGAGACACTTGTGGGGATTTCACGGACTGCAGCCTGGTCACTTATGGAACATATAACAAAGGCTGATGGTCATCTCTCTCCCCAGAGAGATACAAATCACTACAAAGGGAAAGAGTCTTGGAAGCAACCGTGCTGGACATGCCTGCCTTCAGCCCACTAAGGTGATGGAAGAGGAAGAGGGACTGTAGGAGGTAACAACCCATATAGAAAGGCAGATGTTGACCCAAGGTTAAAGCAGGTAGAAGGGTTCCCAGAATCGAATGGAGTGTTTTCTTTCTAGCTCTGTGCATGCTTGATGTCCTGTTCAATCTGCTCAGCCCTGTGTCTTCACTGAAAAATCCTATCCTACCCCTTTGTTACAGTAATGTAAGCTAGAGTACAGTCAGAGCGGGGACCTCTTTATAATGCCAAAAGAAACAAACAAACAAACCAACACACAAACAATAAAAACCACCCCAGAGTCATCTTCCCTTTTTAAAACAGTACTCATACTGTCTCCTGGTTGGGCTGCTCTGGAGAAGCTGATTAATACAGCATTCAAAACAGGAAACAATCTGGTCAATGTCATGTTCTACAAAGGACTGAAGGAATGAGTCTACAGATACTACTTGAGTTTGAAAGGGAAAATATGATCAACCCAAAGGAAGCTGAAAGTGAAAATGTGTTGAAAATGTAGAGAACATACCTGATCAATCAAACATCACTGTCAAGCCTTGGATCTTTTAAACCTGCTCAAAACACTTGCCTTGATCTGTGTTTGGAGAAATATATGTAACAGAATACAAAATTCATAATAAAATACTAAATATCTCATGAGCTTTAAAAAGTACAGTACACTGTAAGTCATTAACTATTCATCCTTGGTGTCCAGTTGCTGACAAGGAAGTGATTACCACTGTCCACCATCGTGAGAAATACTGTACCATATAACACTAGTAAGAAAAATAAATTACAAAACTGAAAGATTTCCACTAAATAATTTTTCTTTTTTGCTTCAGTACTAAAGATTTAACCCAGGGCCTCATGCATGTGAGATGGGTTAGATTGGAAGTACATCCCCAAAATACTTATTTCATATTGAAACAGGATCTTGTTCAATTGTCCAGGCTGGGCTAGATGTGGCAATACTCCTGTCTCAAGTCTCCCAAGTGGCTGGGATTAAAGGTGTGCACCACCATGCCTCACTGATGATTACTTTACCTAATCACTGAGATCTTGGTAAGTCACAGAGAACCCCAATCTTGAACTGGCAAAATGTCTCATACCTGTCATCTCAACAGTCAAGGAGGTGGAAACAGTACCCAAACTTCTTTCCAGCCTGAGTAGCTTAGTAAGATCAGGTCTTTAAAATTTTTTATTGAAATGGGCAAGGAGGAGGGCAGGACAATGTAGCTTGAAGAAAAATTCCCGACTTCAGTCCTTGTACAATAAAAAACATCAAACACACCTTGAAATCTTCTGTATCCAGAGAGAACCCTTTCCATTTACTTCAGTGAAGATGCCACCTTAATTTTAAATTGCCAAGACCAGTTTCCTAATTTCCAATTTTGCCTCACAAACAATTAGATGAACTGATCAATAGTAACAAAAGACATATTTGTAGTATATGTTACTATATGTTACTAAGTTCCCCTTCTTTCTTTATGCCTGTGGCCTCTGACCCACTCTCAGGCCAAGCCAGCACACTATCCTTCAATAACTGTCATACTAAGAACAATCTACCTCAGGGGAAGGAGTTCACAGTTGTGGTTGCTGATTTCACCTCCCTCCAACAAGCCCTGCTCTCCCATTTCCCTTTTATTCCCTTTTGCTCCTTTTATTCAAAAAACACCCTTTATTCCTATTCCTTCATGTGCCTGTAGATTTTAACTGTGGGGATTTACCTCTAGTTCAGTGCTGTCTTTATACAACGTCCGTTTCAATCAACATTTCAAATTTAAAGCAATGTATAGAAACAGTCCAAGAATTGCAGCAATTATTTCAGAGATGGAAGCCCCCTTTTCTTTTGCACTACTACCAATATCACATGTCCCTGTCCATGTAGATACCCTAACGCAACGTGTTTCTCAATTTGGGTTATACAGGCAGCCCTTTCAATAAGTTGTCCTTAGCCCTTCCCTCTCCCTTGGTAATACATGAACATCCCCTCCATTTTTCTCAGCATTCTAAACTCTCTGGAAGGCCTCATTTAAATAGTCTAATTGTAAAGAATATTTAAATTAGTTACCTTATGATTAAGGCACCTAGCTAGGGAAAACAGACTGAGATAGAGCTGGAAAATAAGCCATATTGATATGAATTAAAATAAGAATAGTGAATTACAGACAGTGGGCCAAGAATCAACTTCCTTAAGCAACACAGAATGCAGCTGCTCCCTAAGTTCCTGAGTTTCCAGGAACTTAAAGTGCAAAATAACCAGTTTTTCTCTAAAATCCAATTTCTATAAAACTTACACGATAAAAAAAAAAGTTTAAGAGCCTGAGTTCCAGGTGTCATTTTAAATACACAGAGTCATCTGTGATAAGTGGCCATTAAACAACTGAGCAATTACTGTGCTCTGATCAGCAGCCACATGGCCACTTAATCATGCTTCCAAGGAATCAGGGAGCTATTCTTATTTCCAATGATAATTCTCCTAATACCTTCTTTTTGCTTCATGACCTCATTCCACAATGCTGTGAGACCACAAGCTCTGTTCTCTACATTTGTGCCTCGAGATCTGACATAAATAATTAAGGTGATAATTTTGAGAGTTGTTGAGCATGGAACGCAGGATTGCATTGGATGCTTGGGAAGCACTCCACCCCTGAGTCACATCACCTGTAATGTTAAACCTTTCTTTGGATTCTCATAGCACTTAGCAACACCTATTAGGACTTTGGCAATATGGGGAAATATTGGAAATTTGGAAATTCACTGTGAATATAAAAAGGCAAAGGTCTGAGGAGATGAGTTCTGGGTATGAGACCCTGCTTTGCGGACATTTGTAAGTGTCAGGTCCTCAGGATCTGCTACTAAAAGGAATGAGACCAGGGACCTAGCACATCACAGCTGCACCCGGCTGCAACCCATACCTGAATCAGGGTCTCCCCAACACCCGCTCTGGCTCTTCCCAGACTGGTGTAGATGAGCCTGTGCCTGGTCCCACCCAAAACGCCAAGGTGGGCTGGGACTGTCAGCGGAGACAGGATGCAAGGAATCCGGAACTAACTCTGACCCAGCACAGGGAAAAAGGGACAAAAGCCCCAAAGATCAGGAGAACCTCAGGGTCTGGAGCTAAGCGGGGAGGCTGTAGTTCCGCGTAGCTGGTTCTGCCCACGTCCTTCAGACCTCGTCCCGATTCCCTCTCACCCCCCCGCTTCGGCCCCACATCACCATTGCGTGGCCTCAGGGTCTCCCGGAGTTCTTCCCATGCAGCGTGCAGCCAGTAGAAGCCACAGAGGTGGCCCAGCAAACTGAGGAGCTCTCAGCAACGTGTGCAGGACACAGACTTTAGCGCCATGACACCGGAAGAACACCCCTACATTGGCTCCCCTGATTGGACACTTCGTACAGCCCGCCTCTTTATCGCTGATTGGCTCCTGCCCCGTGGACCTCTCTCTAAACCAAGAGAGGAGAGAAATGAACTTCTGCATGCGTGTTACGGAGTTGAAATGATACATTGTAGCGCAGGAACTTCTGGATCAGGCTCTTTCCCACGATGTCAACCTCACCTTGCCTAACAGTCATTGTATTTAAGCAGTTTACTCCTGGCTTTCCAGAGCTGCCCCTGTTTTCTTAATGGACTTAGTGTGCTCTTATGGGGTCACTTGTGTGCCCAGAAGGTTCCATGGTCAGTGTCCTATGGAAGAAGCAATCTCCTGATGTAAGAAAACAGCACGAGTGCAGTTCACGATAGGAAAAAGGGAATGGTTGGCTGTTAGGTCAATATTTGGGAATGAGTCAGCTGGTTTCATAGTCAAGATGTTGACACTATCTCCCTCAGTCTATTCAATTTGAGCCAAGAAAATGAATATATGCCTCCCAAGAGGAACACAATTATTGTGTAAATGAGGAAATTAGGGTTAAATGACAGCAATATTCTGCAAAAGAGTAAAGATGAAAGAAAAGCAAACATTCCAACTCCCTTAGACAAGCTTCATACTTCACCAAGAGTTCACCCTTAATTTTGAGATCCTGCAAAGCAAGTATAAAAGTTAAAGTACACCAGAAAAGGTCTTTTCCATGCTCATAAAATGATTTTTATCTTTATCACTGTCCCCTTTCTTTTTTTTTTTTTTGAGGAGCCACAGTCCCAGAACCACAGACAAAAATTGCATACAGGAGAGAATAAGAGTATTTAAGAGACAGTTTAAGAGATCATTAAAGGAAATGCATAGAATCTGCACAGTGTGATGGCAAGTCTCAACCTCAGATTCAGCCCAGTGCAATATACTTTCAAATGCAATTCCATTCTTCCTATTTCTTTTCCAAAAGTGGACGTGGGTTTCAACGTGGCCATGGGTTTTCACTTACCTCTTATTCCTGACTGCTTGTAAACCCAATCCATTAAGGAGTTTTACATTCTCCAAATAATACAGCTTGACTTTCTCATTTTTTACCCTTATCCAACACTTCACTCTTTAGTATATAGTAGTGTGCTCATTGATCTCCTCCTCTGTCAAAGTCAACAAAACCCGTGAGATGTAATGGGACATTTTTCACTTCTGTGGTCCTTTGCATGTTTATGGCTTGGTTTTAAATATGGGTGCCGAATATCAGAATTATTTCTCAAACCACAAAATCCAATTTTCAAGCCTCCAACCAATGTCCTGTAATCACACACAGAAACTGAGTGCTTCCAACATGCCTGTAAATTAGATTCCTGAATCAGCATAAGGACCTTTTGAGGTGCATTCTGATTGCCCTTGGTTTTCCTGATGGATCAGCTGAAGATGGAGACATTGAATAATTTCCCAAGTCCTCATAGCTAGTTGTAGATTGAAATGTATGTTTATCTCCAAATAGGGTATTGTCTTTGCAGTGGGCTGTCTACTCCACATGTAGATTTAATTTTTAATATATTATTCCTCTCTAAATAATTTCTGTGCACTCAACTTCAACCTGCTATCATGTTCCCACTCTCAAGATGTTTGCTTTCCTAGACATCTTGAATGGGAACAATTGCTTTCTTATTCAGCTCAAGAATATGAGTTCTCTAGTCTATTATCCATTCCTATGTCAGAATGTCACACATAGAAAAATTAATAAAACAAAATAAAATACAAGCTGTTGATTCAGAATCTGATGATTAGGAAACATGATGTGGCCCACACTTTGAGAGCCCAGTGAGAGCCCAATCAAGGAAGTGGAGTATGAACTCCAGACCTGTTTGTTTGCATATGAAATATGTGTGACCTGGGAAGTCTTCACTGTTTCTTGGGATTGTTGTCCCTGGCAGGGGCAGTTCCATTATCACCCAGGTTTCCAAATGTCAAAGTATCAGAAATACATACGGTAAAAAGGTATAATTTAGTACAGATAGGTTATAGAAGTCTGAAGTTCAAAAGAGTAATTATGGGTGTATAAATACATTTATGTGCAGCAACCACGATTCCAGGTACAGAATACATTCATTAATAAATTCAACATTGTTTCATACACAATATTGATCACTGAGATTGGGAAGAGGGAGAAGGAGGGAAGATATAGGGAGTCTCAATTTGAGTACTACAATCTGTATAAATGTGTTGAAATACATTCAACCTCATTAATGGGTAGAATTTATACACTTGAAAAAAACGGTTTAAAAATAAAACATTTAAAAGTGTATACAGTATATTCATTTTAGCTTAGATAATATATTATATAATTTAATCTCATTCAAAATTCTGTGAAACAAATTATCTTCTTTGTTTCACATGTAATTAACCGAGGCCAACAGAGGTAAATTTTTCAGTACAGGTGGAACACATGGTTAGTAGTAGAGTTGAGCCGTAAGGGCTTAATACAGACCTTAATCTGTTCCCCTCTATACTTGTGGCCATCCAAAAATAGCTGTGATGTAATGGTTAATGTGGACTAATGCAGTCTTCTACAATTAACATTTACTCCATCTTTTTTCACATGAGGGTCAAGAATGGCATCTAAATGGCTTCCTGGAATAACTGATTCAGCATTGGTCCATGAATGATAATCTTCTAGTTCAGCAGACTTAAGGGAAATAAGTTGTCATCTGGTAATTAGTTGCATTCCAGGACTAATGTAATGACCATATTCACTGAGCACAAGGAAACAAAAGAACATCCAAAGGTCAAATTTGTGATCCCAGCCTGGTTGGTTAGTCCTGAGTCTTAATCTGAAACACTCTAGCTAATAGATGAAAGAAAAGACCAAAGGGAAAAGCAAAGGAAAATAGTGGTACATTTTACAGTTTAGATTTTTTAAATCAGTTGTCACGTTACTTAGGTTGGTCAGAATCTCAGAGCTATGAGAGAAGCCTACCTATTTGGTCCACCCTCAGAAAAAGAAGCATAAAACCACGGGATGGAGTACCTTGGGTAAAGGTCTGGAAATGATAGAAGGTTAGGGTACAAAAAAAAGATGACATCACTTCTAAGCCAGTGATTTCCAGTCTGAAAAGTATGAGTAGAAGACTGGACAGAACTGAACTGAGTAACACAACAGAAAGTAAAAAGCATGATTTTGGAATATGTAGGAAATACTACCCAATAATGTTTTACTCCATTTTCTTCATCAGAGGCATTGAAACGTTGTCTATTATTCATGCAGGTGAAAGGCTATGGGAAGTTTCAACACCAGTTTTGCAGGTGGCTTCATTTTGGTGGGCTTCTCGGATTGGCCTCAACTGGAACTCTTCCTTTTTGTGTTCATTTCGATTTTCTACTCCCTAACTCTCTTGGGCAACACTGTCATCATCATTCTCTCCCGACTGGACCCTCGACTGCACACGCCCATGTACTTCTTCCTCTCCCACCTCTCCTTCCTGGACCTCTGTTTTACCACCAGCACTGTGCCCCAGCTCCTGATCAACCTGCGGGGACGTGACCGCACCATCAGCTACGGAGGGTGCGCGGCCCAGCTTTACATCTTCCTTGCCCTGGTCTCCACTGAGTGTGTGCTCTTGGGAGTGATGGCCTTTGACCGCTATGCTGCTGTGTGTCGTCCACTACACTACACAACCATCGTGCACCCCCAACTCTGCCATGCTCTGGCTATCTCCTCCTGGGTGGGAGGCTTCATTAACTCCCTGATCCAGACAGGCCTCATGATGGCCATGCCTCTCTGCGGCCACCTCCTGAACCACTTCTTCTGTGAGATGCCTGCATTCCTTAAGCTGGCTTGTGAGGACACAGGAGCGACAGAGGCCAAGATGTTTGTGGCTCGAGCCATAATCTTGGTCTTTCCTGCAGCACTAATTCTAGGCTCCTATGCACGCATTGCTCAGGCTGTGCTGAAGGTCAAGTCAATGGCCGGGCGCAGAAAGGCTTTTGGAACGTGTGGGTCCCACCTCGTGGTGGTTTCTCTTTTTTATGGGTCAGGTATTTACACATACCTGCAACCCACGAGCAGTTACTCTGACAGTGGAGGAAAATTTGTTGCCCTGTTTTATACTATACTCAGCCCTACACTAAATCCTCTCATTTACTCCCTGAGGAACAAGGATGTGAAGAGAGCTCTGTGGAAGGTTCTAGCGAGAAGCAAATTCAGAGTAGAAGCGGGCAATAACAAACTTATCTATAGTAGCACTCAATTTATTGAACACATTCAGTTCTTGCAAGGCAGTTGATTAGTAGAAAAATCACACTTGGAAGGATTCAATATTTTAATTCCTTCTTTGTTTGAAAGTTGTTACTGAGAATCTCTTGATTCAGGAGTAAGGCTGATTTGTACCATAACACATGGCCAGTGGATGTATTGTGTCCCCTTGTGGAAACTGTTCTAGGCAACTCAGAGAGCCATAGAAGAATTACTTCAGAATCAATTCTTTTCAGATTATCAGCATGATGTTGTGCAGATGGTACTGTGACCTAAGGCAAAGGACTTATGTGGACACCTACACTTCCAATTAACCTCACATCTCTGGTGCTGCTCTGGAGGTCATGTACAGTGTTTGCCTATGTGAATAAAGGATTAATGATCAGAGGTACTTCCTGGAGCATGTAGAGTTTCACACCGAATGCCATTAGCCTACTTGATAAAGAAGGCAAACTTGTTAGGGACGTATTCAGTAGAGAGGACATCAGTATCTCATCAGCTGTCCTCAATGCCCTCAGTTATGCTGCTTTGATCATGGAGAAGGTATGTTCCATGAAAGAGAAAGCAGAGAAGAAATGGGCATAGAGTAATGAGCCAAGAGCAAGTGACTTAGGAAAGACTAAAGAAAAAATCAAGTGACAAAAGGAAGACAGGCAGGTGGGGAAGGGAGAGATTGCTGTGGAGGTGTTTGGGAAATTTCAAGAGTCCTTAGAAGGTATGAAGAGAATTTTTTCTTGAAATTCCACCATGAT